GTGAGCCGGGATCACGCCACTGATTCCAGCCTGGGTGACAGAGTGAAAATCCGTCTCAAAATAAAAGAAAGAACATGCATTTAATATACCTACCCTACTGAACATAAGAGCTTAGCCTAGCCTATTTAAACATGCTCAGAACATTTCCATTAGCCCATAGTTGGACAAAATCATCTGGCAACACAGTGCACTGTAGAGTATCACTTGTTTACCCACGTGATCCTGTGGCTGCCTGGTACAGGATTTGATCTGGCTGCTGTAGCTCACTGCCCAGCATTGACAGAGAGAATTGCACTGCTTTCTACTGAGTGTATATTGTTTTTGTTCCTTTGTAAAGTTGAAAAGTCAAACTATTGTAAGTTGGGGACTATCTACAAGACATAGATCCTGCCTTTAAGAGGCCTTCATTTGAGTTTGAAGTGATAAAACACACACAGTTGTAATCCCAGCACTTTGGGAGGCCGAGGCGGGTGGATCATGAGGTCAAGGGATCGAGACCATCCTGGTCAACATGGTGAAACACTGTCTCTACTAAAAATACAAAAAATTAGCTGGGCATGGTGGCGCATGCCTGTAATCCCAGCTACTCGGGAGGCTGAGGCAGGAGAATTGCCTGAACCCAGGAGGCAGAGGTTGCGGTGAGCCGAGATTACACCATTACACTCCAGCCTGGGTAACAAGAGCAAAACTTCGTCTCAAAAACAACAACAACAACAACAACAAAAAACACACACAGGACAAAAATAATTTAGAGAACAATGTAAGAGGCATATGACCTTAAATCACTGTAGACCCAGGTAACATTTAATTGTGGTATGTACGTGATAAATAAATATGATTTCAAGTGAAGAGTTGTCAAAGTTTGGTGAAATAGCAAGACCAGACTTGAGGGGGGTGACGTTTAGTTAGATGCATAGGGCTGAAGGAAAGACATTAAGAGAAAGGAGAAAATGAATGAACTGAGAATATGGCAGGCCACATGCTGCAGACTGGTGATTCTCCAGCTTCAGGGTGCATCAGACTCATCCAGAGAACTTGTTAACACACATGTCCCTGAGTTCCACAGCTCTTTCTGATTTAGTAGGTCTGGTATGAGGTGTGATGAGTTGCATTCTGGCAGCCTCCCTAGTGATGCCGATGTACCTGGTCTGGAAACCCAGACTTTGAGAACTGCTGGGGACAGATCAGCATGCCCAGAGCACAAGCATTTACTTGGGGGAAATAGTGGGAAATCAGACTGTACAAGGGAAGTCCACCAGAGAAGTATTAAAAATCAGTTTTCTCTTAACTTCCTTCTTTTTCCTGACTGTTGATTCCTCATCTGAACAAAACTATAAACACTCTTGATTTTTTCTGTTCCCAAATGCCTTCTTGGTTTAGCGTGAGTTACTGAAAAAGAACAAAATCATGGTTTTATGCCTCCAGAAGAACTTTCATGGTTAAAGCTGGATATCATTTCAGAAGACAGGTTCCATGAATCCCTCTGCAAGACACATATTCTTAAATAGCTTTGACTCTTCCAGGAAGTATGTTCTGTTACGGGATTGGTGTTAAGGAGCTTTACACATTGAAGGGCCACTGTCATGGCCAACCCCTTGAAAGCCAAGTATTAAAACCACTGACCAAAGAGACATTGCAAAAGGATGCCCTCTTTGATTGCTTTCCTAAGAGTCACATCGCTTATTATCTCAAATGTTTTACCAACAGCAGTTATAATCCTTATTACATTATCTTTTTGCTGTGGCACATTTAAATAAAAACTTACCATCTATTTTTATAGAAAAAAGAAGTAAGCCAGATTAACGTGGCAGAGTTGGGGGAGGTGTCCAAACTTGAAAAAAAATTTAAAATGTCTTTATCTTTATTCTGTTTGAAATAAGACAATATCATAATCTTCTTTCTACCTCATGGGGTTTTAAAAATAAATTTCTCCTAGAGTTTGTTAGCTTGATGGAGGTGGGAATGTTTTTCTGCAGACAGTCTCTCTTACATGTGTTTAAAGATCAAGCTATAATATGCTATAGTCTGTAGACAGAAATGCACAGTGCACTCTCCAAAATTTTCTTCAATCCTTTGACTATTGAAGATGGTAAGAGTTCTGTAATATACAAATGACAGTGATTAAAGAACAACACAATATACACAGTTCATAGCATGATCATATTTACAAAGTACTAATTTCATATAAACGCCAAAAATATATACTGTTATACTGTTCAAATTTTGAATTGAGCAAATAAATTAGCTAGGAAGAGAATTTATAATATAACAATGAACCACATTTATCATTTATTATCTTTTCTCATGATTTAATGGGTGAAGGATAACTAAAGTAAATAACTTTTAAGGTATTTCCTTTTGTAGAAAGAAATGACATATTTCAGTTCCATAATGAAATTAGGGACTGATATGGTTTGGCTGTGTCCTCACCCAAGTCTCATCTTGAATGGTAGTTCCCATAATCCCCAGGTATCATGGGAGGGACCCAGTGGGAGGTAATTGAATCAGAAGGGTGGTTTATTCCCATCCTGTTCTTGTGATAGAGAATAAGTCTTATGAGAGCTGATGGTTTCATAAAGGGCAGGGCTCCTGTACACGCTCTCTTGTAAGAAGTGCCTTTGCTTCTCCTTTGCCTTCAGCTATGATTGTGAGACCTCCCCAGTCATGGGGAACTGTGAGTCCATTACATCTCTTTTTCTTTATAAATTACCCAGTCTAGGATGTTTCTTCATGGCAGCCTGAAAATGGACTAATACAGGGACTAAAGGTGCTCATTGCAGTGCTTAGAAAGGAAATTTTGCTGCACAGGTAAGAGAGAGGTAGGAAACTATTACATGCATTGAGAGCTGGACAGGAACTTTCAGGGGCTGGGTTGACTGTGGCGCCTGCCTGGAAACCCATGGTGGCTTAATGACAGGGTGAGGCCAGAATCCCGGATTCATCAGAATTGCTGACTCCCTCACTGGGACCCTCTCCAGACTCTACTAACGAGCAGCTTCTTTTTAGAAAAGAATTTTTTTTGTAAATTTAATCTCATATTTATTACCTACTGACACATTAAGGATCTTTGTAAAAATATCCTGAGCGAAAATAAGTTGAATACAACAAAGAAAATTTAATTTCTCCTCTAACCCAGTATCAAAGATGATATTTCAATTTTGTTTTTCTTAGCCATGTGTATTTTTCTGTGAAGAAAATGTATTAAATTGAGATCAGGTTTGCTTTTTTTTTGAGACAAAGTCTAACTCTGTCACCCAGGCTGGAGTGCAGTGTCCTGATCTCCGCAACCTCTACCTCACAGGTTATAGCGATTCTGCTGCCTCAGCCTCCTGAGCAGCTGCCATCACAGGCGCCCGCCACCATACCCGGATAATTTTTGTATTTTTAGCAGAGATGGGGTTTCAGCAGGTTAGCCAGGCTGTTCTCGAACTCCTGGCATCAAGTGATCTGCCAGCCTGCCCTGGCCTCCCAAGAGCAGGGATTATAGGCTTCCACCACCGTGCCTGGCCAGGTTTCCATTTATTTTTGACATGCAGTGCTTATTTTCCGTCTCATGTTAGTGCATTTGTACATTATGTTTGTGAGCTGCAGACATGGTGTTCTCCAGTATAATACATAAAATTGTTAGTGGGACCTGTGCCAGGTATCTCTCTGAAGGATGAAGACTAGATTTTAAATAAATAAGTCAGTTGATTCATTCAATGATTGTTCTTGCTTTCTGTACCTCACCTGGGGAGAACATACTCCTGTTTTTTTGTTGTTGTTTTTGAGATGGAGTCTCACTCTGTTACCCAGACTGGAGTGCAATGGCGCAATCTCAGCTCACTGCAACCTCCACCTCCTGGGTTCAGGTGATTCTTCTGCCTCAACGTCCCAAGTAGCTGGGACTACAGGTGCCACCACACCCAGCTAATTTCTTTCGTGTTTTTAGTAGAGATGGGGTTTTACCGTCTTGGCCAGGCTAGTCTTGAACTCCTGACCTCGTGATCCATATGCCTCAGCCTCCCAAAGTTCTTGGATTACAGGCATGAGCCTCCATGCCCGGCCCCTCCTATTTTACATTCTATTGCTCAAAACTCTTAGAACCCCTCCAGTATTTGTCCTCAAGCTAGCTGTTGAATTTCTTCACAAATTTGGTCTTATTATTTTATTGTAATTTTACTTATTTATTTATTGAGGCAGGTCTTGTTCTGTCTCCCAGGCTTTGAGTGCAGTGGTGTGATCATTGCTTACTGTTGCCTTGACCTCCTGGGATCAAGCAATTCTCTGACCTCAGCCCCCTGAATAGATGGGATCACAGGTATGCACCACCATGCTTGGCTAATTTTTAGTTTTTAATGTAGAGGTGGGGTCCTTCTATGTTGTCCAGGCTGGTCTCAAACTCCTGGCCTCAAGTGATCCTCCCACCTTGGACTCCCAAAATGCTAAAATTACAGGTGTGAGCTATTGCATCCAGCCTTGTCATTTTATTCTTGACCAGAAACACATAGCTCAGTTTAGTCAACTACTTCATTTATCAAACAATGGTTTTTAAAAATTTTTTATTTTAAGTTCCGGGGTCCATGTGCAGGATGTGTAGGTTTGTTACGTAGGTAAACGAGTGCCATGGTGGTTTGCTGCAGTTATTAACCCATCACCTAGGTATTAAGCCCAGCATGCATTTGCTATTTTTCCTAATGCTCTCCCTTTCCCTACCCCACTCCCCAACAGGCCCCATGTGCTGCTCCCCTCCCTGTGTCCATGTGTTCTCATTGTTCAGCTCCCACTTATAAGTGAGAACATGTGGTGTTTGTTTTACTGTTCCTGTGTTAGTTTGCTGAGGATTATGGCATCTAGCTTCATCCATGTCTCTGCAAAGGATGTGATCCCATTGTTTTTATGGCTGCATAGTATTCCATGGTGTATATGTACCACTTTTTTTTTTTAATCCAGCCTATCATTGATGGGCATTTGGGTTGATTCCATGTTTTTGCTATTGTGAATAGTGCTGCAATGAACATATGCATGCATGTATCTTTGTAATAGAATGATTTATATTTCTTTGGGTATGTACCCAGTAATGGGACTGCTGGGTAAAATGATATTCTGGTTCTAGATCTTTGAGGAATCACCTCGTGTTCTTCCATAATGGTTGAACTAATTAACGTTCTCACCAATAGTGTAAAAGCCTTCCTATTTCTCTGCAACCTTGCCAGCATGTCTTGTTTCTTGACTTGTTTTTTTTTTTTTGAGATGGAGTCTTGCTGTGTTGCCCAGGCTGGAGAGCAGTGGCACGATCTCGGCTCACTGCAAACTCTGCCTCCCAGGTTCAAGCGATTCTCCTGCCTCAGCCTCCCGAGTAACTTGGATTACAGGTGTGTGCCACCATGCATGGTTAATTTTTGTATTTTTAGTAGAGGCAGGATTTTGCCGCATTGGCTAGGCTGGTCTCAAACTCCTGGCCTCAAGTGATCCGCCTGCCTTGGCCTATCAAACTGCTGGGATTACAGGTGTGAGCCACGACATCCAGTAGTGTTTCTTGACTTTTTAATAATTGCCATTCTGACTGATGTGAGATGGCATCTCATTGTGGTTTTGATTTGCATTTCTCTAATGATCGGTGATGTTGAGCTTTTTTTCATACATTTCTTGGCCACATGAAAGTCTTCTTTTGAGAAGTGTCTGTTCATGTCCTTTGCCCACGTTTTAAAAAAATTTTGAGATGGAGTCCTTCTCTGCTGCCAGGCTAGAGTGCAGTGGCGCAATCTCAGCTCACTGCAACCTCCACCTCTCAGGTTCAAGTGATTCTTCTGCCTCAGCTTCGTGAGTAGCTGGGACTACAGGTATGCACCACCATGCCCAGCTAATTTTTGTATTTTTAGTCGAGACAGGGTTTTACCATGTTGGCCAGGATGGTCTCAATCTCTTGACATTGTGATCCTCCCGTGTTGGCTTCCCAAAGTGCTAGAATTACAGGCATGAGCCACCATGCCCGGCCCGTTGCCCACTTTTTAATGTTTTTTTTTCCTTATAAATTTGTTTAAGTTCCATGTAGATTCTGGATATTAGACCTTTGTCAGATGGATAGATTGCAAAAATTTTCTCCCACTCTGTAGGCTGCCTGTTTCCTCTGATAATATTTTCTTTTGCTGTGCCGAAGCTCTTTAGTTTAATTAGATCTCATTTGTCAGTTTTTGCTTTGGTTGCAATTGCTTTTGGCAATTTCATCATAAAATCTTAGCCCATGCCTATGTCCTGAATGGTACTGCCTAGATTTTCTTTTAGGGTTTTTATAGTTTTGAGTTTTACATTTAAGTCTTTAATGCATCGTGAGTTAATTTTTGTATAAGGCATAGTAAGGAAGGGGTCCAGTTTCAATTTTCTGCATATGGCTAGCCAGTTCTTCCAGCACCATTTATTAAATAGGGAATCCTTTCCCCATTGCTTTCTGTTAAAAGAAAAACTTCAGCTGAATCAAACAATGCTTACTGCCTTTTGTTTTTTTCCAGAAATCAAATCCATCAACATCAAATCCACACAGAAAGAATGATGATAGGCTGGCTGGATGAGGTGGCTTATGCCCATAATCCCAGCACTTTGAGAGGCCGAGGTAGGTGGATTACTTAAGGCCAGGAGTTCAAGATCAGACTGGCCAACAAGGCAAATCCCCATTCTCTACTAAAAATACAAACATTAGCAGGGTATGGTGGCATGGGCCTGGAGTCCCAGCTACTAGGGAGGCTGAGGTGGGAAGATCACCTGAGCCTAGGAGGTAGAGGTTATAGTGAGCTGAGATCGTGCCACTGCACTTTATCCTGGGTGACAGAGCGAGACTCTGTCAAAAAAAAAAAAAAAGAAAGAAAGAAAAAGAAAGAATGATGATACAGCATAACTGAGGAGATGTGAAGAAAGGTGCCAAGAGAAGATAAAAAATTATTAGGGATAACAGCTGCATCCCTGGAATAAATGTGGTCTCCCAAGAAGAACTGATGTTTGTGTGAAACATCACATAAGTTCTGATGTTTGTGTGAAAACGTACATACCCTCTTAGTCATGCCTTGTCCACGATGTCTTCTTATAGGGTGACCATAAATGTTGCCACAGAACAAAATTCTGTCCATGCTTTATTTGCTTAGAAGTCTTCATTTAAAGTATCTGAGGTCAGGTGCGGTGGCTCACATCTGTAAGACCAGCACTTTGGGAGGCTGAGGCGGGTGGATTGCTTGAGCCCAGGAGCTTGAGAACAGTCTGGGCAACATGGCAAAACTCTGTCTCTACGAAAAATACAAAAATTAGCTGGATGTGGTGGCGTGTGCCTGTCATCTCAGCTACTTGGGAGGCTGAAGCGGGAGAATTAATTGAGCCTGAGAGGTCAAGGCTGCGGTGAACAGTGGTCTTGCCACTGTGCTCCAGCCTGAGTGACAGAAGAAAACCCTCTCTCAAATAAAAATAAATAAATATTAAAAATCTGAGCCTGGGCAACATAGTGAGATCCTGTCTCTAAAAAAGAAAAAAAATTAGCCAGGCATGTTGGCGTGGGTCTCTAGTTCTAGCTACTCAGAAGGCTGAAGCGGGAGGATCACTCAAGCTCAGGAGCCCAAGTTACAGTGATTTATGATCTCACCTGCGAATAGCCACTGCACTCTGGCCTGGGCAATACAGCAAGACCCCATCTCTAAAAAACGTATATATATATATTTAAAAACTACACAAAAAGATAAAAAGGAAAGCTCTCGTAAGGAGTTGACAGTGGCTGTTGGGATGGGATTCTTTTCAGTCCTAGAAACCATCCCTGTTTCTCCTAAGCCTTCACTTCCTTACTCTACTCACCTCCCTGGCCCCATTCTCCGCTCAGTCCCTTCAACATCTTTCCTGACTCTTGCTTCTCTGATCTCCTTGACTTTGTCCCACACCCAGCCCTGCTGATTCCCGTGACCAGCAGCCTTTTCCACCCGGCACCTCTGCTGTGGCGCTTTCCTGGACAGAATTGTGCTGTGTGTAGGTGGTGACTCCTCTGCTGTCGTTTTCTTGTCCTCACTGTCTCTCCAATTCTCCAAACTTCACAGCTCCCCTGAGGTCTCCCACCGTGCCGCCTCTGCTTGCATTGAGTGTCACAGAAAGAAAGAAACATTGGCCGAGCAGCAGTGGCTCACGCCTCTAATCCCAGCACTTTGGGAGGCCGAGGTGGGCAAATCACAAGGTCAGGAGTTTGAGATCATCCTGGCTAACATGGTGAAACCCCATCTCTACTAAAAATATAACAACAACAACAACAAAATTAGCCGGGTGTGGTGGCGGGCTCCTGTAATCCCAGGTAGTCAGGAGGCTGAGGCTTGAATGGTGGGGGAGGGAGGGGCGAAGGCTGCAGTGAGCCAAGATTGCACCACTGAACTCCAGCCTGGGCAACAGAGCGAGACTCCGTCTCGAAATTAAAAAAAAAAAGAAGAAGGAAGGAAGGGAAAAAGTAAAAATAAAAAATAAAAAAAAAAACAGGGCCAGCGGCTATCAGTCCTGCAGCACCTGCATCTCCTAATCTCTTCCCTGTAGTCCTACAGTCTCACGTCGAAAGCGTCCCACATTCTCTCCAATGCTGACCTCACCACCCCAAACTCTCCTGCCACCAGCAGGCACTAAATCCTAGGACTCTGCTCTCCTTCACGAACTTTCTTTGCCAGCTATCTTCTTTCCTGCCTTCAATATTTTCCTTCCTCCCTTTGACCCACTTACAATTTCTTTCTTTTTTTTTTTTTTTTTAAATGGGGTTTCACCATGATGGCCAGGCTAGTCTTGAACTCCTGATCTCAGGTGACCCATCCACCTCGGCCTCCCAGAGTGCTAGGATTACAGGCATGAGCCACCACGCCAGGCCCGACCCACTTACAATTTCTAATCTTCCCCCACTTCAAATATAAAAACAACTTCCTTGGCCTTCCCTTCCTTCTCAGGCTGCTGTGCTGGTTCTGTCCTTTCGATTGCGCCTAAAGTGTCTTGAAAAAGGAGCTGCACTTGCTTCTTGTGCACCATTCACTCCACACAGCCTCAATCTGCGTCCACCCGCTTGACCACACTTGGTCTCAGTTACAGGATCAATGTGGGAGAACCACCCGGGTGTGCATCCAGCCATCTCCCTCGCTAGATGTACAGCCTTGGACAAGTCATCTCCCTCTCTGCACCCCAGCCTGCCTCCTGATGGGAAAAATGGGGATAATACTTTTGCTCCTTAATAAACATAAATGACATAATAACAGAATGGTAATTTGATTAGATTCCGGTAAGGTTAATACATAAGAGGAGGTGCAAAGAGAGTGAACTAGTAATAGACAAAGGAAGAGAAGAGGATTCATTCCATCTCTCTGGAATGCCCTTGTCTCCCATCTGATACCCAGTAGGTCCCAGTGAGTCATCTTAACCCAGCTGACAATCAGCTTCTTGCTCAGATCTCTCCTGACTGTCCCCATCCACTGGTGCGAATGGTCTCTTTATTCCTGGTACTTTGGCAATTTAACCATAGTACCTCTCACGTGGTGCTGCACTTGCTCTGTCTTGCTATCATGAGCATGTCCCATGTACCCCACATCCCTGTGACATCTCACAGGCCAAGGGTCTGTTTTACTTGTATATTAGTGTGCTAGAGTGGCCACCACAAAGGACCACAGGCTGGGTGGCAGAAATTAATTTTCTAACGGTTCTGGAGGCTGCAGATCTGAGATCAAGGTGTTGGCAGGGCTTTTCTCCCGTGGCCTCTCTCCTTGGCTGCAGATGGCCATCTTCTCCCTGTGTCTTCACATCATCTTTCCTTTATGTTTATCTGTGTCCTAATCTCTTCTTCTTATAAGCACACAACTAGATGGGATTATGCTGCACCTGTATGACCTTGTTTCCACTTAACTATCTTTCTGCTTTTTTTTAAAGCTGGAGTCTGGCTCTGTTGCCCAGGCTGGAGTGCAGTGGTGCAATGTTGGCTCACTGCAACCTCTGCCTCCCGGGTTCAAGTGATTCTCCTGCTTCAACCTCCTAAGTAGCTGAGATTACAAGTGCCAGCCACCATGCCAGCTAATTTTTGTATTTTTAGTAGAAATGGGGTTTCCCCGTGTTGGCCAGGGTGGTCTTGAACTCCTGACCTCAGGTAATCTGCCTGCCTCAGCCTCCCAAAGTGCTAAGATTACAGGCATGAGCCATTGCACCCGGCCTCACGTAACTATTTTTTTAAAGGCTCTTTTTTTCCAAATACAGTCACATTCTGATGTACTAGGAGGTTAGGACTTTAGCAGAGGAATTTGGTGGGCGTGTTGTCACAGTTCAGCTCACAACACTTATTTTTGATAGCACACAGTATGTAACATGGTGCCAGCCACATTTGCGTCCTTCATTAATTAAACAACCTGGGAAGAAACCAGGGAAGGGGAAACAAGTCAGGAAGTAGAGGAAACTGATCCCTAAAATCTGTTTCCCATATGATCTTGGGGAAATGGTAGAGAAAGCAAGAGAGTTTATTCGTCACCTCTAATGTTTTCCTTTCAATAACACATCGTCATACCAAAGGATTATTTCATTAGACTTGGGTTTCATTCTTCTTGCAAAATGATACCCCTGGGAAGGATGACATAATAAAAAGACAAAATGGAGCAAGGCAGATTCTGCTTTTGTTGCTCACAACTATGAAGCCTTCATGGCCTGGCACATAGTCAGTACATGTTAGCGATTGTTGTGAAGACAAAGACGCTTATCTTGTTCACTGCTGTACTCTCTGGCCTCATACAGTACTTAACAAAAAGTAGAAGCTCGACATATTTGTTAAATAAATGGATATTGCCTCTGAGTTTCTCGTTCCTCATCTCTGAAAAGAACTAATATTTACTGAGCACTTACTATGTGTGAGGCCTCGGGCTACCTGTTTAGATGGATTATTTTGTTTAATCCTCGTAGCAATCGTGTGAGGTAAGTACTCTTTTTATTCCCAGTTTTCAGATGCAGAAAGTGAGGCAATGAGAGTGAAGTAACTGATCAAGTTCACACAGTTAACAAGCAGTGAGCTCTGACTTTGTTGTACTCAAATTTGAAGTACTAAATAATATTTATATTGCCTCCTTCATTTCTATAAAGAGGGTAAAAATTTCCACCTCACAGCCTCATTGAGAGGAATTAATGGGAATTGGTAAAGTGCCTAATATATAGTAGGAGCTCAATAAATATCAAACTCTCCGCTTCACTCCGCACAGCTTTCGTTACTGTGGAGACAGTGCTGTGGGATCCGTCCTCTAACCAAAAACTCTTCCTAAATCCTCTATTAACCCAAACACCCTGCAGCTGCTGCCCCATTTTTCCTGCTTCCTTTCATAGTGAAATTACTCCGTATTAAAGAGATGTCTGTATTTCCTTTCCTCATCTCCCGTTTGGTCTTGATTCCACAAAAATGAGACTTCCCCTTCTCCTCCTCTCTTCTGAAACTGCTCTTAGCAGGATAACCAAACACACCCAACAAGTTCACTACAACCGCTCTTTCCTGCTTCTTTTTTTTTTTTTTTTTCAGCCTTGTAGCATCATTCAACAGAGATAATCACTGTCTCTTTCTTAAAGCTTCTTCTCAAAGCTCCCTAATTTTGTTTTGTT